TCTCGGTTGTATGAGCTATTTCAAACATATTTCATCGTAATTGTGGTTGGTGAACGAATATTTAATTACTTCTCATTGATAGTATACAGTAGTGCGACACGAGAATTGATGCATATCAAAATAGCCCTGTTTGTTTTTATTACAACCATGGTAATTCAAACTCATTTAAAGAACAATACATATCATAAAGTAAATTTCATTGTGGGTCAATCCTTACAAATATGAACTAAGTTAGTTAGATACCTCAAACGTCGGCTCTTAGTCAGATAAATCCCTCGGGGCCTACGGCCCCTCGGGTTTGTATCTGACTAAGAGCCTCCGTTTTCGGTATCTAACTCTTACTTGTTTACTGCGGAGGGAATTTATTTCTATGGTCATTTCATCGGGAGAGATTATAGAACCCAAACGCGTCTCGAGAATTACCATGTCTAACTTTAGACCCTCCAAATCTGTTACAACAGATTTACAAGAGCGGTTACAAGCGCTTGAACGTACCTCAGGCGTCATGGCGTCTTTAGTTGTTTCTTTACTTCCTAAACCCAATGTTGACTCTTTAATTCCCAAACCCAGCGTTGCCCGACATTCTAACTTCAATTTTAAAGGGTGATCGCAGTTGTCTGTAAGGGTTATAAGTTTCTTGGAGCGAGGACCATACCATTTAATGATTAGATCAGAATCATCATCCTTAAAAAGTTTGACGTCGCCGCCTGGTGAAGTCCATGTCCCTTTAGCGTTTAGCGTTTTCTCGACAAAGGTCTTTAACTTGCTCAAAGAGCCAGTCCATCGGTAAATTTCGCCATCGTACGTTAATTCGTTCACTATATTCATGTTTGTCTTTGTAGTAATAAAAGATATATCTCGCCAAGTTTACACACTTTAAAATATTTATACGGAGCACTTAAACATACGTCCGCTCACCTGGCCTAATTGCAATATTGTGATTTGTGAGAACAGTTCGCGCACACTGTACGGACAAACCGTGGATGACCCCAAATATTAAAGCGTTGATAAAAGCAAGACAGAGAGCATTTACGAAAGGGGAGACACCGAAGTATAAAAGTTTACATGCAAAAGTTACCAAGCTGATATCCAACGCTAAAGCTACGTACTACAAATCCAAGGCTGAAGGCAACCATCAATCCAATCCCGCCAAATGGTATAAAACGATTTACAAGCTAGCGGCAGCAACCGAAAATCAACAATCTCTGTCCTCGCCTGACCACGCTGACCTAATGGAAATCGCTGACAGACTACAAAGAAGTTTTACTAAGCCTTGGCTAGGAATTCAACCAGATCTTCCCAGACTTCAAGCGGTAGAGCATTTGCTCAAGGACAGCCACCCACCTCTACCATCCATTGGCCAAGTCAAAACCGTCCTAAAACACCTAAATCCTAGGAAAGCCACTGGGTCGGATAATATCCCTGCATGGTGTCTTAAACGGTACACAGAGTGGTCCACGATATTGTGGTTGCAAGCATAGTTCAATGCAAGTATACCACCTCCTACAAGCATGCAATCATTAGTCCCATACCAAAGATCCGTCCACCCACAGACCTAGATAATGACTTCCGCCAAGTTTCCGTGCTACCACAACTAGCAAAAGTTATCGAGAAGCTACATTTTTAGATTTTTAAATTTGCAGTCTCTGAAATGCCATTTCCTGGACCCTGCAGCCCCCCAGTTGCTACATACGGCCCTGGGCTACACCCGGAAATGCACCGAATGGCAAATAAGGATTACCACTCGAAAGTCTTGCTCGATATTTTTTTACGTCCGTTTATTCTTGCACGATATTTTTTTTAAGTTCGAATTGCTTGCCCGATATTTTTTGGGGGATTCTACCCACCCCCCCATCAAAAATCAAATGGTCCGTCCCTAAAGATAATTAGTGTAGGCTAATACAAGTACTGATAATAATGTCGGGAGTGCGACTTCTGGCAATGAGTTACATGTAATTAATATACTTAATGTGATTGGTGGCTGAAAAGCCCGTTTAATTTAGCCTACGAATGGGTAGTTTGAAAAAATATTTTCCCGACCCACCCGATTCCCTTATCAAAGATCTGATATTTTATACTTTGATGATTTGATGTATATCCATTATTCAGCTGCATGATTCTTTGAAACTATTCCTTGGAGATTAGTTAAACAGTTAGGTTAAAACTTAAAATTACTTATTTCAAATATCTCAAATCAATTATATATCGTATTTCACCAGAATGTTATATAAGAAACAATACTTTATTGCTATAATCACATTGTTGAGCACGTGGTGTATTCTACCGATCTTTGGCCAGAACGAGCAATGTATACAAGGTAAATATCACAAGGATAAACCATCTCAAGAAACTAAAGAATACAAGTTTTGTACGCCATGGAAAAATTTGACGTGTTGTACAACACTACTGGACAACGAGATAGACCAGGACGATGCTCCCAAACAATATAATGATACTTGGCATTTGTGTGGCAATCTTTCCCCAGAATGTTTGAAATATTGGAAACGCCAGGTATATTTCATAATCTGTAGTCTTATATAAAGTGACTTGTGTACTATATTTTCTCAACTTGGTTCAACTGCTTTGGATCAGCCAAGGGGTGTTGGGTCATGTTGGTATACAGTAGTCAGGGGTGTCTGAGCTATGGTGGCAGCTGCCCCTGTTGCCGAAAGAGTCTGGGGGCATGCACAGGGGCAGCCTCGTCCCCTTGCTGCGCCGTTTCGGCATTACGTGGATGTTTGCAGTGAACAAATAAAACATCTATTGTACAGTATATGAAATTGGGTCGTTCCAGAAAAGATCCACACTCCCCCCACAGAGGAAATTTCTGTAAATGTATTAACAAAAATAACAGTAAATGTATTAGGACATCCGAAGGGGGCAGAGGGGTTAACTTCCAATTTCCTCTCTGGGGGTGGTATGGATGTTTTCTGGAATGACCCATTGGACGTTAACCTCTCTACCCCCTATGAATGTCCTAATAGACTATCAGAAACAAATTTTTCTCCCCTCCCCTTTTGGATGGCAGAAATTTCCTCTGTGGGGCAGAGTGTGGATCTTTTCTGGAATGACCCATTTCCGATTTATTCTGCTCATTGCAAAAACCAGCTTGCAAGCTTGCTGTGTGTACTTTTCATCCAATCACAATTATGCTCAACAGTTTATTTTAATTAGATGCAAGTACTCAGTGTGAGAACTACGCTTTGTACTAAACTGTAACATTATTTACAGGGTGCGCACCCCCCCAGAAATGATTTGCACCCCCTCAAAGGCATTTGGCACCCCCGCTAAATTTGTAAAATACTACTAAATTTACTACTAAATTTGTAAAATTACCAATATTATGGTCTCAGATCTTGCCATGCAGGCCTAGAAAACAAATTTTGTTAAACTTTTTCCTTGG